CCTTTGGCCCGCTGTGCCAGTGGAGGGGATTGCCGGGCGGGGCGGGCGGGGGAGGGGGGCAGCTTTCCATTCCCCGGGCTCTGGTTCCGGCCACGCCCAATCCCCCCGTGTCTTGCTCTCGGCCCCAGCTACCCCCCACCCCCGCCACGTCACCAACGCCCGTGTCCTGCAGGCCATGGAGAGTGTCCGACCAGCGGCCCGGGGTCTGACCCCAACACCAAGGGCTGACGCAGTTCCAGAACTGGGGGGGCTCCTGGGCTGCCGGTTCGGGATTGACTCCTGGACGCACGAATGCGGGAGGGTGGGGGCCTCGAGGACAAGCTCGGGCTGGCTGCAGGTCCCTTTCCCGAGGTGGCCCTGGGCCTGATCGGCGGGAGGGAAGGTCCGCCTCATGCTGCCCGCCAGGCCAGGCTGGGAGTCAGCCTGGTGCTGCGGGTCCCGAGGGCCAGGCCGGAGCAGGGAGGGCAGGGCCGGGGGCGGCCTGGGCTGGGGGGCCACAGACAGCAGACGCAGTGAGCAGCTCTGGCCAGGCGGAGGTGGCTGGCGTCGGGGCAGCTGCAGACAGTAAGGGGACCCCCGGGCCCCCGACGTGGCCCCGCCACCGTCTGACGACTCTGAAGAGAGGACGTCTCACTTTATACTCCGCATCCGCGCACGCTCCTCGAGCGAGTCCCCTTTTCTATTCGGTGTACATAGCCCCGCCCCGCCGGCTGTCCTCTGTACAAAGCCCCCGCCGTGCTGGGCCGTTTCCTGCAGCAGCTCCACCCCTGGCCCCCCGGACTGCAGCCAGGCCCCCCGCTTCCTTTCTTACCATTCCGTATGCTTCCGAGGTGTGACCATTTGAATCAGCAGTATTAAGATTATTAATAAAGGTTTCTTTCTTCAAACCAGGACAATTCTTTCTGGTTTGGCAGCTCCGGGGCACAGAGGGTGGCGGGCACCAGAGGACTGGCAGCTTGTCCCAGGATGCAGCCACCCCTTGCTGGAGCCAAGTGGCCCGAGGGCACCCCCTCCTTCAGACCGCCTCCCCCAGCGGCCCCGGGACAGGCCGGCGGCGGCAGAGCTGGGGCCGTTTCTGCTGGTGCTGGGGAGAGCGGGGTGGACCTGAGGTCTCGCCCCAAGGAGCCGCTTCGGGGTACACCCACTGCTCCAGGCTGGCTTGGAGGAGGGGCCCCCTCCCAGCACCCCCAAAGAGGCGGGAGAACCAGGAAGGGAAGCAGCGCGCTCCAAACCAGGAGCTTAACGCTTCGGGCCGAGGGGCTGGGACGGGGCCAGGCTCTGACACCGAGCCCACGACGCATCTCACCAAGACTGGAGTTCATTTCTCACAGCGTCGGGTAATTTATTTCAGAGCAATTACAGCCACCAGAGGGGCACAGGCTTAAAGGCCGACATATTAATTTTCCTGCACACGAGCCCAGGCCGTTGGTGGGAGCAGGGCTGTGGGCTTGCGCCGCACCATGCTCTGCCAAACCCCCTTACTTCTAATTGCTTGCTCACCAGACTGTGAAAAACTAATTGCCGCTATAAATTTTCCCTCCTTCTCTGCATAAAATATTCGGGGGAACCAGCATTTTTTACAAAGGGCAGCAGCCGTTATGGCTGTGCCACCCGCTTGCGGGCACCCAGCCCCGTCCACCCCCACCAGCTCCTACCTCTGGGGACTCAGGGAGCCCCACCCCAGGTCCCCTGGTTCAAAGTGGGACAGGCTCAAAGCGCTCCAGGAACTGTCAAGACAGGAAAGTCACAGCTGCAGGGGCAGCCGCTCCTGCGCAAGACCCGCTTCAGAGCCCGCGGGGGCCTGGCCTGGCCTGCAGGAGCCTGTTCCCCGAACTGGGACGAGTCGGCCGGGCCGCACCCGCGGGACATGAAGAGTACACTGCTTCCAGTTAGGGAGACATGGCACCGAGGGTGTCTGTGCCTGCTGAGAAAGCAGCGTGGGCACCAGCAAGGCAGAGAAGGTGGGGGTGGGGGCATGGGGAGGCGGTGTGGCTGCACTGCCACCTGGTGGCGTCTCCCCTCACTACAGTGTAAAGTCGAGTGCGCTGGTCCCCGCTGGGGCACGCGGCAGCTGGGCGGTCACCCCGTGTCCTAGCCCTTAGCTCCACATCCAACAGCACAGGCAGAGAACAAGAGGAACGAGAAAGTAAACCCATCATTGGCCTAGGGCGAGACCCCAAGACGGGGAACTGAGGCCTTTGACCCTGCCGCATCAAAGGGTCACAACAGACCCTTCTCGGACCCTGGAGAGAAGCAGGATTACCCAAGATCGAGAGACCCCCACCCCAGGGAACCACCATGGTGGCCCAGCTGTCAACCAGGGAGCTGTGTGGCTGGAGAAGCCGTGTCCGGCTAACTTAGCCCCTCTCCCCCCTGTGCAGAGGCACTGGCCGGCCTCGGCCACACGCAGGGGGGACAATGAAGGTGCCAGGAGAGGAACGAGGGAGGGGTCCGCAGTGGAGAGGGCTGCTGCCCCGACACACCTGGACACAGCCCTGCAGACACAACCCGAGGCGCCCGCTGTGGGAGAGACTGGGAGGGCGGGTGTGAAGGAACAGCCGGCCCAGAGCCCCCACACGAAGGCTGCACCCCTCAGAATCCAGAGCCCCCCTCCGGGGCCTGCCTGCCACACTGAAGCTGGCTTCCAACCGCTCTGCTGCGGGGAAGAGGCCACTATTCCCAACCTATTAAGAAATACCCTGTGTGGAGTTTTCTGGACTAAGCGTGCCCAAACCCTTTCCCAGTTCACTGGGAACTACAGAGATGGGTTAGACACAAAGGGATCCACGCGCCTCGGAACCATCAGCCCAGCGAGCTGACCTCTCAGCTCTCCTGCTACTGAGCCCCACGAGCTATGGCCCACAGCCCTCGGGGCACCCGGGGTCCTCCCCTGCTGCCCACACACTTCGCGGCCCCATTGCCCAAGAGGCCTGAGCCGCGAGGTGGGAGACTGCTTTAATGTTCACTCAGGTGCCAGGCACGGAGTACAGCACGGCCACCCTGTCCCACTCGGCCTGTGGCACCTGGAACCCCTCCTTGGGGACAGGCTCCACCAAGAACTCCACACGGCCATCCTGGCCGGGCTCAGCGGCTGCCACTGCCAAGTCCACTACCCGGTACTGGTTGACAAAAGCCAGGCCCAGGAAGGTGGGCTTCTCGGGCCCTGGAGTCCTTCTGCCAGGAGAGCCCCCTCCGGCCCCTCGGCTGCAGTGGATCCGGAAGCATCGGACGTGGGACAGGAGGAAGGACCAGTGAAGAGTGCAGCTGAGCCGGAGCCCGGCGGGCGGGCCCCCCGCCTGCGAGGGGGTCTGCTGCCAGCGGACGTGCGACACAGAGGTGGCCTGCACGTGCGGCAGGGGGGTCAGCAGGCTATTAGCATCCACCACCTGGCGGGAGAGAGGCAGCTAAGTACAGCCAGAGAGCCCGGGGGGGCACAGGGGGGCCGCCCCTGCACCCCGATCCCCCTGAGCCAGGGGAGAGAGGAGGCGGCACTCAGCTTGGCGTGGCTTTCCCCGATGAGGTGACACCGGAACCCTCACCTGGAGCTCTCCAAGGCGACAGACGAAGTCCTCCTCCTCTCGGCTGCCCAGAGGCCGAGAGAAACTCACGAAGACGTCCTGCAGGCGGCAGCCACGCAGGCTCACTTCATAGCAGCTGCCGGGCAAACGCGGGCTGGTCACAGGGGCTGGTCGGCTCGGGGCCTTTGCGGCCATCAGAGCCCCCGAGCCACAGCGGGGAGGGAGACCACCCCAAAGTGGGCCCTGTGGTCAGTGCGGACCCCGGACCTGAGGCGAGACCATGACTGCTCCCCGTGGTGTCCTGGGCTTGCGTCGGGGAGCAGCCTGAAACTCAAGTGCTCAGTCCGGGGCCCCGCCATCCCTCCAGTTCTGGGGTTTCTCAACAGAGGACCCCTCGCTCTTCAACCCCCACCACAGTGTGGTCGTCCCCTGCGGGGGGCTCCACAGGAAGGAGAGGGACTCACCGCTGGACCCAGCCCCCGCTGAGATGCTGGCCGCAGCGGCCCGTCCATCTGGCCAGCTTGGGGGGGGGCACCCGGAGGGGTCTGGGACTGTGCCTGGAGCTTGTTTCTGCTGGGGGTCGGCGGGGGGGACACAAGACTTGAGAGGAAGAACCCAGAGAAAACCACGTGGGGAAGTGTCGCTGAGCAGGGCCAGGGAAGACGGCTGGTGGCCCCAGGCCCTCACAGGAAGGGCAGCGGGGTAGGAAAGACAGCTGGTGGCCCCAGGCCCTCACGGGAAGGACAGCGGGGTAGACGGGAGGCAGCTACGGGAATGGATGCCCGGGGCTGACCATGCCTCACTGTCCTGGCTTCTCCCTGACCCCTGGGACATCCTCCCTCAATGCCATGGCCGGCAGCAGGCCAGGCCCACTCCCCCAGTCTCTGCAGGCACACGCCCAACCCCGCACAGCAGGCTGTGCTGCCGAGAGGTCCTGGCCGACGGGAATCTCCCTGTCCGCAGCTGGCCCCAGCGGCGCGGTCAGCAGAGGCAGGAGGACCCAGCACCGCCAGCACCAGCTCCCCACGCCCCGTACGTCTTCTACACTCATCTTCCCTGAGACGCCCCGAGAAGCGGGAGACCTGCCCCTCACCATTCAATGCCGAGATGCCACCGATGTGACAGCTGCCCGTGTCCCCTATGGTGAACTCCAAAGCAACCCTGACATTCGAAGGCCCTTCAAGCTTATACACCAGGGACAGGAAGATTTTGGGTGGCACTGGGACTTGCAGGGAGAACAACCTGTAGGAGGAAGGTCCTATGAGGGGAGGCCATGGAGAAACCCTGCTGAGGAACCTGGGCTGGCTGCAGGTCACCGCCAACCCCTCCCCCGAGAAACAGGGCAGCTGCTTGGTGGGGACAGCCTTCCCCCAAACCAGACCCTGTCACGGCCGAAACGGCTCACTTCCGCAATGCTACGGACCACAGGTGTCTAAAGCAGGTGACGTGACAGAAACAGAAAGTGGAACGTGGACGCTGGGGCAGGGGTGGGAGTTCTTCAAGGGGGACAGTTTCGGTTCCGCGAGAGGACAAAGGCCTACAGAGGGCTGCCCACCAGCGAGCACGCGGGTCACACTGCTGCTCTGCGTGCCGGCCTCTGGTTCAGACCGGAAGCGTGCGCTGCGCTTTCTACCACGATAAAACGAATCTTGGTTCTGTCCTTTTTGGCCTCCGCCTGCCCAGCTAAGCCATCGGGGTGGAGGATGGGAGGAGCTGGCGGTCCCCGCACGTCTCGGCCACTCACTCACCTACCTCACAGCCACGTCCCTAACTTCAGGTGGGATCACCCCCCGCAGGAGCAGGGAGCTGCCCCCGTTCCAGGCGTCCGCCAGGCAGCTGTGCATCTTCACCCGGCCCTGCCCGCCCTCTCCGAACAGGGGCTGGACCTCCTGGGCGCCTGGGTGGTACCAGGGCCCCACCGCCTCCTCCTGGAGGGAAGAGCAGAACTGGAGAGCAGAGCCACCATCGTCCCCTCCTCGGACCCCAAGGCCCCTCCCGCCCCTCCCAGGCGAGGCCCCAGGACGCGGAGAGAAGGCAGCCCCTTTGCCACGACGTGGCGCAGTCAGGAACCCCACTGCCCCTAGTCCCCGGACCCACACACCTGGCCGTAGCAGATTCTCCGAGTCCCCACGCCCAAGCAGAAAGAAGTGACGAAGGGCAAGGAGCAGATGCTGTGGGTGGGCAGGTAACTTGTCAGCAAACTCCAGAACCTGCGGAGAAATGCACAGAGACAGCGGCTCAAGTCCAGAGCACGGGGGCCCCAGCACCCCAGAACTCAGTCTTCGTAACTCGGGGCTGCCCCTCCCGAGTGACTGCAGCTCCCCGAACACGGATCTGCGGGAGATGCACGTCTGCAGGCAGTCTGGTCTCCAGGGCCCCCTCCCCGGGAAGCAGCCCAGGCGGCTAGACCCCCCCATCCTGCCTTAACCAGCCCCTGGAGAGCAAGGCCTGAGCTACTCGGAGAAGCCACAGGAGCCACCCGAGGCCCCTCACTGCCATGGGCCCACGCCCCAGGCCAGGCAGGACTCACTTGTCCTCGTTCTGGAAGAAGTCCGTCTTCTCGAAACACTCGTACACCCAGCCAGGCGCAAACAGGGCCACTGAGAAGCCGTGTGTCCGGATCAGCTCCAGTGACTAGGGAGACAGCGGCCAGGCAGCGACGCTGGGCGGGTGGGCCACGTCCAGACGCCCAGACACAGGTGGGCTCCCCGGGACACGCCCAGACGCCCAGACACAGGTGGGCTCCCCGGGACACGCCCAGACACCCAGACACAGGTGGGCTCCCCGGGACACGCCCAGACACCCAGACGCCCAGACACCCAGACACAGGTGGGCTCCCCGGGACACTCCCAGACACCCAGACACCCAGACACCCAGACGCCCAGACACAGGTGGGCTCCCCGGGACACGCCCAGACACAGCGGGGAGGATGCTGGGCGGGCCACAGCAACACCCAGACACAGGTGGGCTTCACACTGGCCTGGAAAGGGAAGGTGGGAGCTGCCCACTCTGCCCCACAGCCTCACTCCAGGGTTTTCGGGATCGTCCCTGTAGTCCTACAGATGGCCAGAAGTGGGCGCTACCGCTTTAAACAGCAGGGCAGGCAGGGGTCTGCACGTGGGGCTCCCAGGCCACACCTTTTTCCCTCTCCTGACACCTCCAGTTCGGTTACCAGACTTACAGCGGGGGGAGGGTCTCCAGACATGGGGTTAATTTAATCATTCATGCTTCGTCAGTGAGATCGCCTCATGGCACCCACGAAGGGACAGAGTGCCGGCCCAGGAGACAGGCTCACTCCACACGGACCCCACTGCGGGAGCATCCACCCCAGCACCCCCTTTCTGCTTCCTCACTGCTGACAGGACTTGCCTTGCCAGAAAAACCTCACTAGTGATTAAACCAGCAGCTCCCAAACTGAGGGTGTCACCTTGGTCCTTAGCCCTGAGCCGCCCGTGAAAGGAAGCATGCAATAGGACTCTGGCGTCCCCGAAACCACCTGGCATGTTTAAGACATTAGCTCAGTGTCCTTCAAAGTATGTCATCTAAAAGGAAGCAGAAGCCAGCTAAGGTGAGGCCGCGGTGGGCCCAGGTGCTTGTCCACGACCACCTGTCTAAAAAGTACCGTCTGACCACGGAACTGGGGGGGAGTTAGGGCTCTGGGGCACACCGATGTTTCCTGGTGCCTCAGTTTCCCCACTCTGGGAAGATTAACTGCCGCCTGTCTTTCCTTTGAGCTGAGATGGGCCCGAGGTCCACAAGAAAACTAGAGCCCACAGAAGGCACGCAGGCGGCCGCCCACCTTGTTGGTGTCAAAGCGGCCCCCCACGACGTCGCCCCGGGCAAACACGTCCACCCCCACGTAGATGTCAGCCAGACGCCCCCTGGCCAGGCCCTGCATGCGCTCCAGGTGCTCCTTCTGCCAGTTGTAGTTGGTGAAGAAGCCGTCGCAGGAATCGAAGAAGACTCTGCGAGCAGGTGCGGGCCAGGGTGAGGGGCTGGGGGCCCGTGTGCCGCCTCGCCTTCCTCCCACCCCGGGGTGAGGGGCTGGGGGCCCGTGCGCCACCTCGCCTTCCTCCCACCCTGGGGTGAG